TGTTTGCATTCCAAGGGAGATGGACACCCACAAAATGGAATTAAGTCTTACGTGAATTTAACTCCAGAGATATTTGTCAGGCTTATGTTTAATAATCAATCTTGTCTTTTAATGTGCAAATATTTCATTCTCTTATTTCTTTTATTGCTGGTGTCTTGAACTTAAACTGCTGTATCACTTAATGAACTGTATTCTTCACAGATTCAAAGAAGTATAACATGTAGGCAGCAGAGATGTTTGATTAAGTCACCTCTTCTTCAGTGAGCAAATTTTGTCCAGCCCTGGTTCTGCCCTTAATGGCAGCTGAAATACCAAGGAAGGCAAAGTCAGGGTTGCACTGTACAAATAGCTATTTAAATAATTTTGCTTTGGTCTGTGGGAACAACCTTTTCAAATCAGGCTGTGGAGCAGTGTTTGTAGTCCCAGGAGTCCTGGTGGGAAGAGCAGTAGCTGTGTTTTGTTGCAGGGCTACCACGTATTACCTGGCAGACCGGCGCTATGACATGCTGCCCCCCGTCCTCAGCGCTGACCTCTGCTCCCTCCTCAGTGGGGTGGACAGGTAAGCCTTGGGAACTGTTCTCAGCAGGGGCACTTCTACAAGTCATTTTGCATTATTAATGGAAGAACTGTGTGCATTAAAAATTACCTTTCAGTTCTACCACAGGTAGGGTGAAATTTTGTAGACCAGTTTATATCAATTTATGGGCTCAGCTGGCTGCTGGCGTGAGGATATGCAAGGCTGGCATGAGGATATTCAGGGTACAGAGATGTTCATTGTGGATGCATCTGACTAATAAAATAAAAATGGGTAAAAATAACTATCACAGTGTAGCTCTGCTTTAACATAAAGGAGACCTTATACCTTAGGGGTACTCTGCTTCAGCACATGAATTGAAGATCCTGCTATGTAGCTCATTTCAGCTGTGATGCGTGAGACTGAAAGGCAAGTGCATTATTTAGTGGTGTTGCTGAGCACTGGTTTCACAAAGAAAAAGATGCTTCCACAACCAGAATTAAATGTATACATTTCTAAGAGTTGAACGTGCTTGCAATGGGATTTTAGGTCTACCAGAACTCTTCCAGAACTGTGGTGTTGTCTTTAAGATACGCCGTGAGCGTCTTGTGGGAGCTGGAGAAGGAATCGTACGAGACGCTGAGGGTTCAGTACACCAAAACCCTGATCTGCTCTGCCTACAAGCTGGAGTACGAGACAGCCCAGGGTCTGTTGGATGGGGACACGAGTGTGGTGGGGGATATCCTGGAACTGAAAGGCCTGGATGAAGGAACAAGGCAGAAGAAGCTGGCTGAGCTGGTTTGGGCCATATCCAAGCTCACCGACATAGCGCGACACGTCCGGGCTAAGCGGGACCGCTGCGGCGCGCTGGAGCTGGAGGGGATCGAGATCCGAGTGCAGCTGGATGACAAACGGAACATCCATGACCTCATCCCCAAGCAGCCGCTGGAAGTGCACGAGACCGTGGCGGAATGCATGATCCTGGCCAACCACTGGGTGGCGAAAAGGATTTCCGAGGATTTTCCCCACCAAGCTCTGCTGCGGCAGCACCCTCCACCGCGCCAGGAATTCTTCACTGAGCTTCGGGAGTGTGCCAGTGCCAAAGGCTTCTCAATAGACACACGGTAGCTTTTATTACTAAAGTTCTGTAATACTGTTTGGCCATGTTATTGTTAAACAATTCCAGCTCTCAGAATCAATGCTAAGAGACACTGCATAGCAGTTCTTAAAAAGTTTTATCAGAACCTTTCTGATGATCTGACCAGGAGAAGCTGCCTGCATTCTTCTGGCTGTACTGCAAATGGCAGTGGCTGAATAATTTCAGACATACCCAGACAAAACATTTGTTCAGTCACTGTGCATTGGTCAAGCTCTGCAGTGGCCTTGTTTGCACTGTATTTCCTGGGTAAGAGAGTGTTGGTTTAAATTAGGTGAATTCTGTGCAATAAAGTAATTTTAAATGACTTGAAATAATTTAGAATTACTTAGGCACAATAACATGAGAAGGCCACAGTGAAGGGCATCAGTAGAGCCTCTGTGACCTGGGTGTCACCTTGTCCCATTTGTGCTGGACACAAAGGTTTGGTTGGACCAGCTCACTCTTTTGTACTGCACAGGATGGAGTTTCCTCCAGTCCCTGATTCTCCAGGTTGCAGCAGAGAACTGAGTGAAAACTGGGATTTTTCTAAACATTTTCTTAGAGCAGAGCTGTTATTAAACTGCATTGAAAGTTTCAATATCACTCTGCTTGCCATTTTTGTATGAATAACTACTAAGTGGGTTTTATGCTGTTGTTAACTGTGAGCCATTATAACCAGGGATAGTGTAATTTTCTTTGGAATTAACACCTTTTTGCCAGGTCTAACAAGGCTTTGGCCGAGTCTCTGGACAGAGCAAACGACCCCTCGGATCCCATTGTGAACAAACTGCTGCGCTCCATGGCCACCCACGCCATGTCCAACGCCCTGTACTTCTCAACTGGCTCGTGTCCCGAGGAGCAGTTTCATCATTATGGTATCTGGTCACTTTCCTGCCTTTCCTGTGATTTCTGAACCGTTGGGGGAGGCTTTGACTGCTCATCTCTGTTCCTCTCTCTTGCAGGGCTGGCCCTGGAGAAGTACACTCACTTCACTTCTCCCATCAGGAGATACGCTGACATCGTTGTGCACAGGCTCCTGATGGCAGCAACCCTGAGGGGAACCACGGGGGATGTGAAGGATAACATCATCAGCAACAAGGATCTGGAGGAACTGTGCAGACACATCAATAACAGGAACCGGGTAAGGGCATTCTTCTGGGAGTCTCCATGGTGCCCTAGGGAATGGGATACCCCTCCTGACTGTGGCTTTTGGGAATTAAGAGTATCACTTTACTTTTATTTGTAGTGCTTTAGGGTCTTTTTAAATATCAGTTTTGTTCTGAGAGTGGTAGTAAAAATGTTCATACTTCACTTGTACTGCATGTAGGATTTTTTCTTGGGGACAGGTAAGAGAGTAAATAATGGGAAAAAGCAGCTGTGGAAATCAAAGCCAGAGATGCTTGTTGGAATATTTACATATGTGTTTGTCTCTGTGTGTGTGTGGGGTGCTCGCAGGCAGCCCAGCGTGCTCAGAAGCAGTCCACAGAGCTCTTCCAGTGCATGTACTTCCGAGACAGGAGCACCGAGAGCGACGAGCGCTGCGTGGCCGACGGGGTCATCTACTCCATCCGCACCAACGGCGTGCTCGTCTTCGTGCCACGGTGAGCCCGGGGCTGGGACGGGCTGGGAGGGACACCTGGTGCTGCTGGAATGCTGGGAGGGCACAGCCTGGCACAGCTCAGTTCACATCTGGTATCTCCAGCATTCCACGGGGTTGGCTCAAGAGCCTTAGCCAGAAAAGGCTGCTGCCTTACACAGAATCCAGGGCAAACATGCTGCTGCTCTTCAAGGAGCTTTTTTTTTTAAAATGGAGAACTGTCTTCTCACTGTCTGTCTGGAAAAACCTGTAAAGCTGCTCTTCTCCCATCACTGATCCATTCCAGGCCCCACCCAGCACTAAGATAATGGATCACTGACTATTTCACTTTTGCTTCACTGCTCTCAAAACACTTCAGTCACTGTCTCCATGCTGTTTTCACATCTGGGTTTCTTTAACAACACCTATCCTGTTCCTGAGGCAGGATTATCAGGCTGCCCTGCCTGCCCCTTCCTGTTGCTTTTCTACAATCCCAGCCAGCTTGCGGGTTTTGAAACTGAGACCTGAAAATGGTTAGAACAGCTTCTCTCTGCTCTTTTGTAGGTATGGAATCAAAGGTGCAGCCTACATGAAAAACAAAGAGGGCTTAGTCATCTCCTGTCAAGGGGCTGGGAGCTGCCAGTGGAAGCCTGGATCCCTCCATCGCTCTCAGCATAAAATCACCTCCACTACAACTACTGGAGACTCGATGACCTTGAGCCTTTTTGATCACATCACAGTGAGTATCTCATGCGAGGGGAGGAAAAGGAGATAGCAGCAGCAGCAATTTGAACACAGTGTTGCTTTGCAGGTGGGAATCCTTGTGCAGAGTTCCCGCTGCCACGCTGAAACCATCAGGCTGGAGATCATCAGGAACGCGCCGCACCACACCGCGGACACCGAGGCTGCCCAGAGGAGCTTCCACGCCGTGAAGTCTGACCTGGTGAAAGAAGTCAGCCAGTCTGCAGAGGAGGCCCAGCGTGCCCAGGAGCGAGCCAGGGTGGAAGTGATGGATGAGGAGTCCCGGGAGTTCTGCCAGACCAAGGGGCCCAGCCTGTACCAGCTGCTGGAGGAGATCCGGGAGCTGGCACTGCTGGATGTGACAGAGGACGTCAGGACGTGAACCGGGACCTGCCACCAGCTGCTGGGGCTGTCCCACTCCTGTTCACTGTGCACGAGTGCTTGGGGGATCTTTAAAAAAGCAGTTTATTTAAATATTCAAGAGTCCTTGCAATAAGAAGCTAAATGTCTATTTTAAATAAGAATTATTTTTATCAGATTATGAGTATGGATGAGTTATGAAAATATTTTATACCTGATAAAGCTCATGTTTCAGACTAAAGACAGTGTGCTGTAAATTCTTTCAAAAATCATTCAAAAAATTACTTTGCTCATACTGTCTATAAATTAAGTTCTTAAAACCTAAATACTTCCTTCTTCCCTACAAGGATATAAAAAGCAAATTCATTCATAAAGTAACAGCTGTTGCCCTGAGGGTAGTGGCTCAATTCAGTGTGCAGAAATTCAGTACTTTTTACCCCTTTATTAGAGGGGATGATTCCTGTTCAGAAACAGAAGACTGTTGTGTAAGGAAAACCAGGACTCTGTCTAAGAGGAGGATGAAGCAGAGGCTCCAGCAGAGCAGGATCAGAAGCAAGGTCTCGTTGCCTGAGGGGAGGTGCTTGTCTGGGGAGAGGTGTCTGACCCAAGGGATGGGGAAGTGTGGGAGCCCTGCCCTTGTAGCAGCATCATACCAGAATTTCAGGTTTGACTTCTGAAATTTAATAGCTTCCATTTCATATGAAAAATATGTAAGTAATGGATAAGCAGTTAAAAAAAAATCCAGTATCCCTGTTAAAGACCCGTTAAAAAACCCCAAACACACCTTTAATAGCAACTTAATGCATCAATATCCCAGTTCATTTGCTTTAACATAAATGATAAACTATGTTCAAAGTAGGTCCAAAAAGTCATAAACATTTCCTAGAAAACATTTTGGGAGGTGGAAAAGATGGCTCAAGTGCAGCTGAAGAACTTTGTTCTGTTTCCTGGTGTACAGAGCTGCTTCCCTGCAGCTTCCAGGGAAGAGTTCTGTCCTTCACTGATGCCATGGGAGAGACTTCCCTGAAGCTTCTGCAGTGCCAAGAGCCAGCAACATTTCAGTACAATGACAGTACTTAAAGCAGGAGGGTCCTTTGGTCAAGAAAGGCATTCATGGTGTGGGGGAGCTACTGCTCTTCCCTGGCACATCCCAATTCATCATCTCCATCTTCTGTGGGAGCATCCTTGGCTGCAGGAACCTCAGTGTCTTCAGTAAGGTCAGGGGGATCCTGAGCAGCTGGACTGTCAAACCCCTCTTCTGAGTAACTGCTGGGGAGCTCTGTTGAGAAAAAAAAAGAAAAACCATGAGCAGACACCATTGCTGTGTTTGAGTGATGCTTCCATCACCAGAATCCCAGGCTGTGGCAAAGGCAGCTCAGAGATAAGAGGCTGAGTTGCATTTCACCAGAGACAAAGCTGTCACAGCTTGGTACAACCACCGGGGAGTTCAGCTACAGGAAAACTGTTAAAACGTGGGAGTTGCACACTGCAGCACTTACTAGGAAAACCATCAGGGCCATGAGCCAGCAGCTCAGGCCCCTGCCCTCCCTGTTGCCACAGAAATCAGGTCCTTACCCTGGTGCTGGGACTGGCTGAGGCCCTGCAGCCGCGCCTGCCTCCGCTCCAGGGCCAGCTGCCGGTTCTTCTTCATCCGCTCCTGCTGCTCCTCCGTCAGACTTGGCCCAGGCTGGGAATTCAGCTCTTCTGCACTGCCACAGTGGGAATGTGCATCTTCAGCAGCTGCATCCAGCCCATTGCTTTCCCCTTCTGGTTAAAAAGGATGGGGGGCAGAGGAAAGAGGGGCAGTATCAACACTTTAAACCCACAGAGATCCACAACACATCAGTCAAGAGAATATTCTGAAAGCATTTCTGTGTTTTACATTTTGTATTGACAGCTGAAGCTCATTCCATCATTTAATTTTAATGGGAAATTTTCTGCCTAGGCCCACATCCCCAATATTCAAAGGGCACAAGTGCTCAGAGCTCAAACACACAACAATCAATGCCTGAGTGCAGAGGCACAGCTCTGTGTACTGAGTTAGCAACAGCAGCTGTGCTTGAAGGCTCAAAAGGGACAGGAAATCCAGACAACCCTTAGGGCCAGGTAATTTTCCTCCCAACACTGCTAATAAAACACTGTTCTTTAGGAAGTGGCCCAAGTCCTACAGGAATTCCAACCTTTCAAGGCTAGGCTGTGTGACAGTAGTTGAAGGTGTCCCTGCCCATGGCAGGGGATGGAACAGGGTTTTAAGGTCCCTTCCTACCCAAGCCAATCCAGGATTCTGTGAATCAGAAGTCTGAACACATACATTGAGTACTCAGTTCTGAATTCAGTGTGCTCTATTACAGGGATATTTACTCATCTGCTAGCACTGAAACGTGCAAAGTGGAGGCAGTTCAGCTAGATACCTTCACCCACCCAGAGAGCAGCAGAGCGCCCAAGGCCTCTGCACCACTTTAAGCCTGTGAACAGAAACATGAGCTGACAAAAAGGTTGGGTTGTTAATACAACACCCCAGCCTGAGGTTTTACTTCACACCTGTGAGATGCCTACCCCAGTTCCTCCCCTGATGGCTGCAGCAGTGCCCTCAGTCCCAGAGCTGAGGAGCAGCTCAGCTCCCAGCAGGTCCCGGGCAGTGTGTGGAACCATCGCACAGAACAATCCCATCGCTCTGCGGACGCTGTCGGCAGGAACCACTCGTGTTGCTGTCCGAGGCTGCTTCTGGCTGCAGTGCAGCTCTCACACTGCAGCAGCAGTGAAGGCAGCCACGTGTCACCAGCTGCCCCAAGGACACCCCAAAGCCCAGGCCAGCTGTTTCCACTCATCAACTCATCCACAACACCATTCCCAAGCACTGGCTGGGCTGGAGGCTGAGGTTCAGGTGGAGACAAATGGGACAATGGGCAGATAATGCTTTCAATAGACTGACAGTAGAAATGCAAAACCCTGCACAGGTCCTTAGGAATGACAATGAAATTCCCTCCTTTCTGCTGCTAAAGTTTCTCACAAACTACCACAGGACCTCTACTTCCTCTTTAATTAAGAATCTGCTTATGTTCTAATTTCTATCTATCTGACTGGAAGAGACTCTTGACTTACATCCTCAGTGCTGGGTTTTGATCCTGGCAGAGGGAATTTTCCCAGAGCTGTGTGCCAGCTCTGGCAGACACGACAGTGTCCCCAGCATGAGCAGGCACTCTGCCTGTGAGGGACACCACCCCCTGACTGCACTGCGACTCCCCACAGAATAATCAGCATGACTTCGTGATTCCTGCTTTAAGAGGATCCAAGAGCTCTCCAGGCTGCGCTCATGTGAGAGTGCAACACAAACCTGTGTGCTCAGTAATTGCAGTTTTAGGAGTTTTCTTGGAAGAATATTTCTAACAATGCTGATTAATACCCATTTTTCCATGTCCTTTCAGCAGACCTTGCAATTTTATTCATTTTTACACACACATGTGCAAGTATCAGTTCAGTTGTGTCATCATAAGACTCACAGAAGCCTGGTTTTAAAGCAGAGATCTCTCAACAATTTCTTCTACACTAGGAAAGCCTATCATGATCATTCACTTCTGGTCAGTAGAAGGGATATAAATAATCTTAAGCACTGAAGTACTGAACAAATAGCAGAGAGAGCATACCTTCATTATTTTTGAAGTCTTCATGTAAAATAGGAAGATCAAGTCTAATCCGCTTGAGGCAGGTCTGCAGGTGGGACAGTAAAGACTGGTGTTTCATCTGCAGCAAGTTTTTATGTTCAACTTTGGGAGCATGGGAAAACTGCAGCAATTTTACACTTTATTACTCTGAAAAAATACTCTCACTTCATGTCCATTTGACATACAGACCTCCAGTGCTGTGATCATCTTCCCAGTCCTCCATTACCACCCAGCCAGGTGAAGCTGAATTCTTTATCAGTCTTCTTTTGCAGGTTCAAACATTAAAAATCAACCAAACAAAACCCAAACCCCCAACCAGTTCCAGCTGGTTAAGCAACTTGCTGTGGTTAAAGATGTCCTGAAAATGCTGAAGCCAATTCTCTGGAGGATTATTTCAAACAAAGAAAGGTTGTATCTAAATACAAACATAAATACCAGACAAAGCTCTAAATTGAGAGAAATTGATTTAAATAAAATTATGCTTCTCAGCAGTATGCACAACCTAAGTCTTCTTTTGCTGCGTAATTGATCCCCTAAACCTACTTCTTGCACTACTCCAAACACCATGAAGAGGAGCTGACAGAAATACATACCTGAACTTCCTTTTTGTTTCCCAAAGACTCCACTACATCAATAAAATCCTCAAACTGCAGTTGTGGGAACAGTCTGTGAGCCCAGTGCTCCATATGGTGGATCAGTGTCTTCAGGTCCTCTGCCTGGAGCAGGAAAGACAACACCCAGCTGCTAAAGCTGACAGAGAAGGGAGACTGCAGAGGGAAATGGGACAGTAATTCCTGAACACAGGGAGCATCTGCAGCCTGCCAGTCTCTGCAAAATGTCAGCAGTGCCAATGTGTGGGTAACTTTTCCTTCCCCCTCCACAATCCAGTGTCAGTGTAAGCTCAGGCTGTGAGAACACACTGACACAAGTTCAGGGGAACATCTGCAGGTCCTGAAGCATTGTCCTTAAACAACCAGGCCTGAACTCAGGCTGTAATAAATCCACAGGGGCACAGCTGGCATTGATCCTGATGTTTAGAATGAAGATACATCAAATTAAGCTGATCTAGGAAAGGTTTTTGCACCTTTCAGCACTACTGCCCAGTTCCTTTGTGCTCCAGTGGCAATGAGAACACAAACCAGAGGTGCAGAGCTGTCCTTGCCAGTGTGCCAGGGGAATCATGGAATTGTTTGGGTTGGAAAAGTCCTTGAAGAGCACCGAGTCCAGCCACTCCCCCAGCACTGCCAAGGCCATCACTAAAACATGTCCCCAAGTGTCACATCTGAATGTCTTTTAAATCCCTCTGGGAACAACAGCTCCACAGCACAGGCTGCCCAGGGCTGGACAACACTCCTGGTGAAGGAATTTCCCCTAATAACCAACCCAAACCTCCCCTGGCACAACTTGAGGCTGTTTCCTCTTGTTTGTTACTTGGGAGAAGAGACTGACCCTCCCCTGTCTACAACCAACTCTATAATGTATGTAAAGGAAAACAGGCTCTGCATGTTGAAGTGCATCCAAAACAATAAGAAAGCTTGTAGAGAAAGTCTTGCTTTCTCTTTGCTCAAGTGCTATGTCACACTTTTTAAAAAAACCTTGGGATCCAAAACCCTGCTTGTGTGGATGATACAAGAGTCACAAATTGGATATTCTTCTTTTAGAGTTCAGGAAAAGAATTTTATGATCAAAAGATGGATTTTGTTAAAGCATTTTGTGTTTATCTTAAAGTCTGCAGCTCCAAAGGCCATCAGGGCTTGTCAGGTACTGCTGGGAAGCTGGCTGACCAGAGTTCCAGCAATGCTCCCCATATCAGATGGGCAGCACTCTAGCAAAGCTACATTCACCTCCCAGGAAACAAAACCCAAGCCCACCAGCTCTTACCTCGTGCCCTTTGCCCTTGAACTTGACGTTGTCAAACATGTGTCTCAGAGCTGGGAGCCCTCTTTCCGAAGTTAACCTGGGAATAGGAAATGGGGAGTTACTTGAAACTCACTTCCTTCTTTCAATTAACAAGTGAAAAAAAAAAAAAAAAAACAAACAAAGAAAAAACTCTCACATTGCTTGAAAACAGCCTAAAGCTTGGATTCTTTCTGTTGATTATAAAGAACTCACAGCAGTTTTAGAGGTGCCTTAATCATTTTCTCCCACAGCCCTACACCAAACTCAGCACACAATGAAATATTCTGTATAAAGTTACCTTTGGGCATCTAATCTAGGCCTTGGTCTTTTTACTGCCTTCTGTGTGGTCACAGCAGAATCCTTTGTTTGGGACTGCTGGTTTCCATCTGGATCTGGGGAAGAAAACAGCATCATTTAAGTATTCAAAGCAGTTGCTGTACATTTTAAGTTTCTACTTGTATTTCTGTGCATTGAGAGGGCATCCAACACTGTTATCTCTTCTAAAAGCCAAGTTCATAAAGAGTAACTATAGATCATGGCTGTACAATTATTTGTAGCAACATTTTGTCAGAAGAGCTTCAGTTTTACAAAGATTCCTTTGTGCACATTATTTTCATGGAATCTACAAAAACAAACTTTTCCCACAAACCGGAGAGCATTGCGTGATTAACAATTTAAATTTACAGTTCGTTTTCTGCCTATTTTTATGCACTGAAGTCCACCACCACTAATTTCGATTGCACAGCATTAAAATGGGATTTTTAGGGGTCCCGGGTGCTCACCTCCATTAGCCTGAGCCCATTCTGCATCGTCCCTTCCTGGAGAGGCAGGAGGTGGAAGAGGTGGGAATGTTTCGTCTTCTGTGTTCTCATAATCAGGAAGATCAAACAAGTTGTTCTCTAAAGGATCTAGCATTGCCACAAAGAAGCTTCTTTTCCCCTCCTGCAGAAAACAACAAAAGCATTTAGAGAAGCAGCGAGGCTGCCACAGAAGCGGATAAACGCCAATTATATACAATATTTACAGCTTTTTCAGGAAAAGATCTGCCAACCAGATCATCATACAAATTAAACAGCAGATACCATACACAGGATAACACAATCCCGCCTCGCTGAGCCGAATAAAATAAGGGTTTGTGATGTTCCAACTCGTCAAAGTTACTTGGGAGTGGCAGGAATTAACCAAAATAAGTCGATTCCTGCCCACAGCGCTTATCCGTGGAGCCGCGTGCCACTCGCATCCCCGACCAAAGCCTTTGGGGGTGGAGTGGCCATTCCCCAAATTCACAGCTCACCCACTTCGAAACGCGGTCTGGAGGAGGAGTTCCCTTTTCCCGCTCCTCCGGCGGAGCTGAGCCCAGAGCCCCCGGCCGGAGCGGGCTGGGCTGAGGCGAGGCAGGAACGGCTCTGATTCCCTGCTTCAGGAGCGCTCCCTGGAGCGGGGCTGGGCTCAGGAGGAGGCAGGAACGGCTCTGATTCCCTGCTTCAGGAGCGCTCCCTGGAGCGGGCTGGGCTGAGGCGGAGGCAGGAACGGCTCTGATTCCCTGCTTCAGGAGCGCTCCCTGGAGCGGGCTGGGCTCAGGAGGAGGCAGGAACGGCTCTGATTCCCTGCTTCAGGAGCGCTCCCTGGAGCGGCCCCGGGCTGAGGCGGAGGCAGGAACGGCTCTGGTTCTCTGTTGCTCTGTTTCAGGAGCGCTCTCCGGAGCGGCCCCGGGCTGAGGCGGTGGCAGGAATGGCTCTATTTCTCTCTCTGTTGCTCTGTTTCAGGAGCGCTCTCCGGAGCGGCTCCGGCCGGAGCGGGGCCGGGCTGAGGGGCCGCGGCCGCCCCCACACGCGCCGGGTCCCGCGAGAGCCCCGAGTCTCGCGAGGTCCCGCAGGCGGCGGCTCAGGGGTTTTGGCGCCAAAACGCAGAGGGCGGGGCGAGGAGGCTGAGGCGATCCCAGGACTATGGAGTCCGGGAATGCTCGGGGTGGGAGAGGGCACTACAGATCATCTCATTCTCATTCCAACTCCCTTGCTCTCGGCAGGCACCTTCCGCTATCCCGGCTTTCTCCAAGCCTGTCCAACCTGGCTTTGGACACTCAGGGATGGAACAGCTGTTCTGGGCAACCTGGCTGCGGGGCTGCACCAGCATCGCAAGGAGGAATTTCATCCCAATATCCCAGAATTTCATCCTAATATCCCAGAATTTCATCCCAATACCCCATCTAAACCTACTGTGTCAGTTTGAAGCCATTGCCCCTTGTCCTGTCTCTCCGGATCCTTGTAAATTGTCCCTCTCCATCCTTCCTGTAAGGTCCCCTCATGAACTGGAAGGGCACAGGTCACCCCAAAGCTCCTCCAGGCTGAACAATCCCAGCTCTCTCAGCCTTTCCCCACAGGAGACGTGCTCCATCCCCTCCATCATCCTGGTGCCTCCTCTGGACTCTGTCCCCTCTCACCTGGGCAGGGCAGAGTGGCAGAATTCCCTGGAACCTGCTGCCCACGCTGATCCCACCTGGGATCAGCCCAGGACACACTTGGCTTTCTGGGCTGCCACTGCACATGGCCGGGGCACGTCCAGTGTGCCACCCACCACCTCCTCCAGCCGCCTGTAGTGTCACCTTGTCAGGGAAACCGTGCTGGGGATTAGTGTTTAATTTGAAATATCCAATGTTGCAAAGCCCCACGATGAGTCACCTCCAGGAATGGGATTGAAAATTCTTGAGCGCCTGTCACTTCACAGAATCACAGAATCCCTGAGGTTGGAAAAGACCTCCAAGACCATCGAGTCCCACCTGTGACCAATTCCCACCTTGTCACCAGCCCGGAGCACTGAGTGCCACCTCCAGGAATTCCTGGGACACCTCCAGGGATGGGCACTCCAAACCTCCCTGGGCAGCCCTTTCCAAGGCCTGACCGCCTTTTCCATGGGGAAATTCCTGCTCCTGTCCAGCCTGGTGCAGCTTAAGACGATGTCCTCCTCCTGTCCCTGTTCCCAGCCCAACCTCCCGGCTGTCCCCTGCTGTCAGGAGCTGTGCAGAGCCACAAGGACCCCCTGAGCCTCCTTTGCTCCAGGCTGAGCCCCTCTCTCAGGGATGGAACAGCTGTTCTGGGCAACCTGGCTGCGGGGCTGCACCAGCATCGCAAGGAGGAATTTCATCCCAATATCCCAGAATTTCATCCTAATATCCCAGAATTTCATCCCAATACCCCATCTAAACCTACTGTGTCAGTTTGAAGCCATTGCCCCTTGTCCTGTCTCTCCGGATCCTTGCAAATTGTCCCTCTCCATCCTTCCTGTAAGGTCCCCTCATGAACTGGAAGGGCACAGGTCACCCCAAAGCTCCTCCAGGCTGAACAATCCCAGCTCTCTCAGCCTTTCCCCACAGGAGACGTGCTCCATCCCCTCCATCATCCTGGTGCCTCCTCTGGACTCTGTCCCCTCTCACCTGGGCAGGGCAGAGTGGCAGAATTCCCTGGAACCTGCTGCCCACGCTGATCCCACCTGGGATCAGCCCAGGACACACTTGGCTTTCTGGGCTGCCACTGCACATGGCCGGGGCACGTCCAGTGTGCCACCCACCACCTCCTCCAGCCGCCTGTAGTGTCACCTTGTCAGGGAAACCGTGCTGGGGATTAGTGTTTAATTTGAAATATCCAATGTTGCAAAGCCCCACGATGAGTCACCTCCAGGAATGGGATTGAAAATTCTTGAGCGCCTGTCACTTCACAGAATCACAGAATCCCTGAGGTTGGAAAAGACCTCCAAGACCATCGAGTCCCACCTGTGACCAATTCCCACCTTGTCACCAGCCTGGAGCACTGAGTGCCACCTCCAGGAATTCCTGGGACACCTCCAGGGATGGGCACTCCAAACCTCCCTGGGCAGCCCTTTCCAAGGCCTGACCGCCTTTTCCATGGGGAAATTCCTGCTCCTGTCCAGCCTGGTGCAGCTTAAGACGATGTCCTCCTCCTGTCCCTGTTCCCAGCCCAACCTCCCGGCTGTCCCCTGCTGTCAGGAGCTGTGCAGAGCCACAAGGACCCCCTGAGCCTCCTTTGCTCCAGGCTGAGCCCCTCTCCAGCTCCCTCAGCCTCTCCCGGGGCTCCAGCCCCTTCCCAGTTCCATTCCCCTCCCTGGTGTCTTGGTTTGAACAGACAGGAGTCTGCTAAGGAAGGCAGGAGCCTCTCTTGAAATGGAAAATGCAAACCCCCTCCCTTCGAATTATTAGAATTTTGAAATTAAGGGGCAAAGATATGGGAGTAGGAATAACAGTTCTTTATTAGGGAAAATGAAAATAAAAATGCAGTAACGCAAAAAACATTGCCCTGCTCCTGTGGCCACACTGGTCCCAGTGCAGGCCAGGGATTCCCACCCTGGCTCAGCCCAGGACCAGGACAGCGAGCCATCCTGAGATGTTCTCCAGACAAAGCCTTCTGGGAATTGACAACTGAACAGTTTGCAGTTGTCCAGGCTGGAATAAATCTGCTGAGCCCTCAGAGGTTTGGCAGCTGTGCACATAAAATGCCATGTAAGGATTTGGGCTGCAGGGACAACAGGAGAGGCTCCACGCTCCTGTCTCCAAAGCAGCTGGAGCTGTGAATTGTTCTCATATTTTTACAGCTCAGTCTACAGAAGCATATCTGACTTAAATTACGGTCTCTTTGTTTAAACAAAACTATATAAATTAATGTAAAATATGAATCCATTAAAGGAATTGGTTTTCCCTTATTTCTCTATAAATTCAAATTTGACATACAATGTTTCTGGTAATTTAATGTATTCCTTCTAGTACAACAAAATCAATTGCAGTTACTTTCTGGTTAAAATTCTTTTAACAGTTAATGTTTAAAATGTGTATTCACAATCGCTGCAGCATCTTTTATAATCAAGAATATATTAAATATAGGGAGAACACACTAATGGATTTTTTAGCACTGAATCAATTAATCTTATCTTTTTAGATATGGCCAATTTCTTCAATCGATTGAGACAGCTGAAGTATGAAAATTAACACAGAGGTTTAATAATAATCATAGATCAAGTGCTGCTAATTTCCAGCACAAAATATTGCAATTGTCATATAAAATTACTGAAAATCAAATATCTACATGATGATCTCTTTGCATTGAAAATAACAGTGGCTCTTTGTACTGAAAGATCCTTACAAACAACAACAACAAAAAAAAGCAGAAGATCACTTACAATCTCTGCAGAGGACACAGGGTTATAAAACCCTCCATATTTATGCGACTTTGATTAATCAATATTTTTGAAGAGTGTTTAATTAGAAACTGGACTTGATGACCTAGGTGGTTCTTTCCAGTCCTGTGTTCCTAATTAAATAAAAAGCAAATGCTGACAGGCATTGATTATTGGTTTTTCCTGAGGAAATGAATAACCAGCCACATGCTGCTAAAATAATAAGTCAGGAAAAAACAAACAAAACACCCCCCACAGGTTGCCTCCATTCTAGAAAACACTTCTGGTTTCCAGTCTAGGTGAAAAGGAAATATTACTGCTTGTTTCTGTGTGATTACTGTAATTTCATTAAAAAAACTGCAGCAAATTAGCACCTCATTTTATATTTCAGTCTCATTTCCTGCTTTGTTACACGTAATATACAGCAAAGCAAATCTGTCAAATGGATAATTGCCTTCTTCCACGCTTGAAGGGGTTTATTCCTAAGGGAGCAGAATTTGCTCGGCAAAAAAACCTTCAAATATTGTGTTGGCAAAGCTGTTCATGCCATAAACCCTCAGCACAACTGCTCCCATTGTATTAATGGGAAGTCACATCCTAAGGATTAAGCAAATTTCAGTTATTTGTAATTTATACTTATTTACATTTATGCCTTGCTGATCTAATCTAAATTTGATATTATGCAGCCACCGTAAACGTTAATTTCTAAGCTTTTAGTATATCACAAAGCATTCAATTTGTGCTGTGATCCACGGGGCTCTTTTAAATCTGTGTTTCTTGAGGAAAATAAGGTGCAAGGCAGGTTGTGATCTCTGTCAGCTCGCTTCAAATAATTTTTGATCCTCTTGGCCAATTTTATTCAAATTCAGATCAGACTTCTTAAATTCCATTGCTTTATGGGACTAATTATTTCCCTAACTTGCTTTGCTAACCACTAAGCAGATTAAGAAGTATTAAATCTTGCAAATAGAAGTTTGTGTGCACATGTTTTGGCAGTAAAATATGCAGCTCTGTGTGGCAATCGAGTTTGAAAAGTTGGCTTAATTTAGATGCAATTGCTCTATATAGTAATTGTGGTTCTCTTTTCATGCAAGAAATTAGGCAAAATTTTGTTTCCATAAGGGGAAAAAAGTGGTAATGAAGACAAGCTTCTTTGTTCCACTTCTATTTTCAGAGACAAATTATTTCTATTTTTCCAAGCAGTGGTAAAATCAATAAATCAGAAAACCTCCCTGCTCAGAAGCCTCTCTCTGAAATGACAGTGCCTTCTCTTTTTTTCTTCATCTTTTCCTTTGTGATTCACCTCCAGAAACACCTGCTTGTACAGCAAAACACAGTTCCTTCCATGGAGAATATTGAAATTTCCAAAACGTGTGTGCTGTTTTGGCTGGGGAAATGTACTTAATTTTTAGTAACTAATGCCCTTAAGTTAAACCTCTTTGTTTTATAGACAGCAGTGCAGAAATTATTTCTGCAGTGGCATCAATCCATATTCCCTGAATTTATTTCTAGATACAGTGAATCCAAGATATTTTTGGGTTTTGTGCTTTGGTCAAAGGGATTTGAAAAGAGATTGATGAAATCAGTAATTTCACAGTCCAGTATTGTGAGTGCAAGGATAAAACACTCCAGAGGAGGGAGCTGTCCCTTAATATCTA